ATTGCTTCAGAAACACACTGAATCGGGAGGAACGCTGGGCTCTGAAGACATGTAAGTCAGTGACAAGCAGTCACTTTGAGAAAGAAATTACAGAAAACCAAGCCCAGTGATAGCATCTTGTGACACTTCCCTGCAAAGCAGGGAAGAATAAACACATCTGGTAAAAACAGGAGGCAGATTCATCTGTTTCTAAAATTTGAAGCAGCTGGCATCATTTCCCAGGCATCTCCTGCTTGTTTGCCTGCTTTTGTAAAGTCAAGAGGAAGAAGAAAAACTAAATTATACCAGCAAGAAGATGATTGTACCAAATGGACACTTGTGCATTTCAGCATGCATAGTGATGGGAAGAATATGTAACTGCAAATGCTGTATAACCACTGTAAATAATAATTTGTGTGACTTGGGAAAAACTCATAACAAGACAATAAGGAGCACACAGAAAAATAAATAACAGGTAACCCTAAAGGAAACAATTCCTTTGTTCTCTCATTTTTGAAAATACCTTAGGTGGAATTTTAATCCTCATTATTAAAAGTACTTCAGTGGTACTTATATAGTCCACAGCGATTCTGAAGTTCCTTTGTTTTCTCCTACACACATTGTGGATTACAAAACAGGCAATTTCATTAATACATAACAACACACCTTTTGTAAAAATGAAAAAAAAATCACAAAACTTAAGAAATGTAACAGTAGAAAAAAAAAGAGGTACTACATACACATAGCTATGTAATTTAAATTTGTAATTTAAATTACCTAGCTATGTAATATAAATTAGAGAAGTATCAGAGATTGCTTAGAGCCCACATGCCCATTTGCTACTGGTTGACAGTTACTTTTGGACTCATGTTCACAGTATGCCTTGAGAAGAATAAAGGAATGGAATTTTGTTGAAACCCCTACAGAAGATGTTCCATGTCGAAAGGGGCACTTGTGGGAAAGCTGGCAAATGGGCAGTGGGGGCGTGTAAAACACAGACATGTAAAACAGAACATTGACTACAGAACTACAGAACAGCAAAGGAGTATAAAGCTGAGTTACAGTACAGTGCAATACAGTAGTTCTAATGGGCCTTCCAGCCCACTTCTCCTAGACACTCAGCAGCATACTTGGCTTTTTTGTATTCGCGATGATGTGATGTCCATGTGTCACTGAGGACACCACCCAGTCCTACATTTGTCATCAACCAAGCTACATTTGTCATAAGTTCTTATCTGAGCTTTGACAAAGGTCAAAAAGATATGAAGGGGATGCATCAACAGTCTGTCCTCAGAGCTTGGGAAAGCCCAGAGCTGAGGCTGGGACAGGAAAACCTGTCATTAGGAAGCTCATGACACCTAGCTTTTCCTAAGGCAACTCCCCCTCTCTGCTCTCAGGTGCCTCACACACAGCCAGCCCCCAGGTCTAACAGAGGAGTTTGGGAATAGGAAAGGGAATTAATTTCTCCCGTGCTAAAGCTGTGCATAGGGTGCAATGATGGCTTTTACTTCTGCACATGCCTAGCCCCACTCTTCAGCCTTTCACTGACATGCATTGCATATCCATGCATTTCACAGGGGAGGAGTGCCTGAATCTCCAGCAAGAGGAGCAGGGTCTGTCTCCTCAGTACATCCCGCTGCATGCACCCTTTTACTTCACAGCTGTCAGAGCTGGAGGGCTTTTTGGAATACTCCAAAGGACAGCTTGTGCTAATGTGATCCTTCATTGAAATAAAAATTTGAGTCACATGAAGTGAGACATTTTGCATCTCATTCTGCATTGCACTCTCTTCAAAGAAAATAACTTGGTGCACAGTTTACCAGCCTCTCTCCAGCCCTCAATGGAACTGTGCAACACCAAGCAACTACCACATCATGTTATGTGTGTTAAGAGCAATCTTATGCAGGAACATTCTTCAGTATGTCTTGCTTGACATCAGTGTGTCACCATATATATTTTATAAATTATAACACATATATATAAATATATATACACATATATAAAGGCACACACACAAGCTTATAGCACCAGCAGAGGCTTGGAAAAACCTATTTTTAACTAGGCTACTGTAAATCCCATCCTACTTAAAAATTTTTACCATTCCCCTCCCTCCTGGCTCAATTTAAGGAAGGGTCAGTACTTGTCACAAGCTTATCAAGCTCCAGATATCCAAACTACATTTAGAATATGGAAGCAGCTACACAAATCACAAGAGCAAGGACTCATGACCTCAGGTCATAATTTTCTAATGAGTTCAGTAATTGACACAAAAAACTGATCAAGACAAACCTATCTACATTTCCAAATTACTAGATACATCAAAATACAAAATTTGGATGGTATCAGCACTGCTTATAGCCTTCTGAAACTACCAAAACTAAGTATTGATATTCCTATAATTTTCCACAGTAAAATATGCCATTTCACCTTTTGGCACAGCATGGCTTTTTATGACTCAGGAAATGAGGAGTGAAGGAAACACCCTCCCAAAGCACACCAGAAAGGAGTGCCTTCCATTATGATACCACAGCTCCTAGAAACATGCTGTTCAAGAGGACAGCATGACACAACGTTAGAAGACTGGCTCCACCCCAATAACCAGCACTCAGAGTCTCCAAGATGAAGCATTTATTCCAGGACAAGAATTGTGGCTAATGTTTGATAATGGGTCACTCCTCCCAGACAGATGTCCAGAGCTGGAAAACATGGGTGTGCAAGCCACCCAGCTTTTCCCTGGGGAAAATTCTTGATTCATTCTGAGTGCTGCTTTCCAGCTCAGGTTGTATGGCACTTCCCTGCTGAAAACAAGATGTAGCTTAAGCCCTCACATAAAAGCTGGCAATAGTTTAAAAACTCCATGTATAAATGAGTATAGTTGAACAGAGGGGTCTGGCAAGACTTCTGTGGCACTGGCAGTGTTTGAGCAGAGGAAGGGAAAGTACAGGAGTGCTGTGAACACCTGGCAACAACCTGGTGGAAGCATCTGCCTTTGAAGCACTTGCTGTGAATCAGGACGGCAGGGTGCTGGATGCAATACAACTTAAAACTTTCCCTCTTTACTGCAAGCCAGGATACACAATTTCAAAAAAAGACACATTCTAGTCACAAAGAGAATGGGAAGAAAGTCAGCTTAGACTTATATTCCAGCTACAGCAAACATTTTCCCTGTGCCTGTTACTGGGCCACTGTAAGTGGGAGCCAAATTACAGATGCTCTACCAAACGGGAATGTCGTGAAAGCCTGTTTGATGTATCAGATGATGCACGGAGAATTTTCAGGTTCTGAATCTTTGCCACAGAATCAATAACTGGCTGTTGAAAGCCATGAAAACTGCTTACACTGGCCCAGCTCACAACCTCCTGAATACCACACGTAGGCTGTGCTCTCAGGATTTTTTTCTCTGCCTTTTCTTCGATTGCATAATAGCTGTCCTTCTTGAGATAAAAGTTAAATTTATGAGCATGTGCCTTTCAAAATGCTATCCTCAGGGGCCATATGTATGTTGCTGTTACACAGACGGACCCAGAGGCTCCTCTGTCCTTCAGGGATAAGCAACAAAGCAGTGGAAACACCTCGGGCATTGTTTATTCTGAGCAAAGGCCAGACACAACAACGTCTGGACTTGGCTGGCAGCACCCTGGCAGCTCCCAGCCCTGGCACACGCAGCTGCTCTGGCTGAGCAGTGGAGGATGCAAAGAGCCATGCTTTCCAAACTATATCAAACTGAACGTGCTGTTCACGGCCCTTACTACCTCTAGCAAAAACACTAAGAGGGGAATCATGATGACACTTGAAAAACAAAAACCTCACAACTTTCAGAAACTGGTAAATCGTCAGCTGAAGGTTCCTGTGCATAGAATGCACTGTGATTCATGAGGATCTTTCAGTCCACCAGGAACAACCACCTTCACTGTCTAGGCTGTTCTGATAGATCTGCGCTTCATACCAAGAACCTGTTGACTTAATTTGTGTTGCATTATATGCCAACTTGAGAAGCTGCTCAAAAATTCACCTCAATAAATATCTGAATAAAACCTTTTACAAAGTAAACTAGTGTCATTTCCTCAGAAATCATGAGTCTGCTCAGCACTACAGACACTGGAATTCTTAGGACTGGTCCTCAAAAAAACTATCCTGTGGTCTTCCTAATATATTACAGAATGCATATGATTGGCAGCAGTGACAATCATTTCTTGCCATCCTTTATTGAATAAGCTTAGGTATATGTGATATGAAATATTTTCCTATGAAAGGAAAAAAATGTGTGAGTTATCCTAAAACATGGCATATGACATAATTTCAAAAAACAATTTATGGAAAACACTGTCAAGTTTTGATTCATCTTCATAATATAACTTAATGTTTGATGAGGAGGGCGATTAAATATTAAAGCATTTCTAATTTAATCTTTCTTGTAAACAGTCTTCCATCATGTAGCATGACATCACAAAATAAATATAAAATAAACCTTTTAATCCCAAAAAAGAAGATGAAACACATGCCCTGAGGCACAGTCAAACTGCCTAACACCAATAAATAAACATTCCTTAGTCTGCTGCAACACAAGAACTTTCTTGGGTTTGTGGATGTGTATCTTCATTGGTCTGTAATGGCTTATCTTTGTAGTAGTTTCTCTACTATTTCTTCTTTTTCTTTTTTATCTATTATACTTTTCTTAGTAGTTTCTCTACTATTTCAATTACAGAACTGTCTCATAACATGTAAAAACTTGGATTTTTATCCAAGTTTAATGTGTTAATATGTTACACATGTTATTCATATCAGCTGACTCATTATGCCTTTTTATGTCAGTCCTTTCAAGAGAAATGTTTTCTAGTATGAAGGAAGATCATATACAGCAGAAATGATGATCCAGAACTAAGACACATATCTACCCATGTCCTGAGCCCAGACTATGAAGTGTCAGCCACCTTGGTAAAATATTAACAGAGTTTGTGGGTTGTCATAGTTAAATGAAAGGCTGCCCTGAACGTAATTTCATTTACAGACGTTCAGAAAATTGACATCACGGCTGCAAGGACATAAAAACCAGCACAGTGCATTTTGGATTGACTGCAGGAACACTGACAGGAGCATTCTACAGGCTGAGCTCCTCTAACGGCACAACAGAAACTAGATTTTGCAAAGTACACCGTGAAGCTACTTTTTATAAATCAGTTCTGAGAACATCTGAGAGATTTTGTCTTCAATTGTGCTTTCAATTCCTTTAAAGAAGCATGTGCACGGGAGGCTGTGCCAAGTGCCTGGGAGGTAGTCTCATCCCCCTGGCCGTGCTCGCCACCCTTGCTAACATTTTGTTGTTTTTCCCTGGAGGAAAAGTGGCTGAAGACAGTGCACACATTACAGATGAAGTTTGGTACTTCGGAGGGATCTTGGGATCTGGTGTATTGGTAAGTATCAAAATTCAGACATTCCTGCTTTCCCCCCACCCGCAGCCATGACTTGAAAGTCCTGGGCTTTCTCAGGACTGCAAATTCTTCTTTGATAAACAAATAAGCTATAAGTCATCCAAAGGTTTGGCAATAAGTAACTTAACCTAATGATAAGAAAAAAAACCCCATAGAATGATTATATTTACAAGAAGAAGTAACTCGAATTAATCCCAATTCAAACTGTATTTCTATTATTTGTAGATGATCTTCCCTGCCTTGGTATTTTTGGGCCTTCAGAATAATGATTGCTGTGGATGCTGTGGTAATCGAAGCTGCGGAAAGAGGTTTGCGGTAAGTGAAAGGAAACATGGCAGAAAAAGGAAAAGCTAAATTGTTACTGATATATGTATCTTCCTCTCACAGTCATTGTGAGTCTAGACAGAGGCTGTCTTGAGTGTGGGACACACAGCCCTGACATTTGTTTGAGTGCTGGGAAGTGGAAAAAACAGGCTGTAAAAATTGTGTTATGCCTCTGATGTTTTACCACCGGTACCACAACAGTACGGCCTCTTTGGTTTTTGCCAGATACTTTTAGTTACTATCACACTTAAAATTTATTGTTGAAAGATCTACACTGTTTTGCAGAGTACAACAGTTCTCTCCTTAGCCACTTTGTTGGTAGCTTTTAAAATTACCTGGGCAGTCAGACATTACATTCCCAACTCACTGAAGGCCAACAAAATAAGCTGTATCTCATCAGATTCACAGGAAATTTCAGGAAGGAATAGACCTTGGGAGGTCACCTAATCCAACCTCCTACTTTAAGCACTGTGAAGGAGACTCCACTTTGAATTTATAGCTTCCTTTCACACTAGGAAAGTTTCCAAATGATACTTTCAGACACTAATAAACCTCTCAAGCATTTTAGTTTAAATTTAAAATATTTCTAGTAGGAAAATATGTCCTTTCAAAATAAATTCTTTGGATCTAGTAAATCATTACAGTTTATAAATAAAGGAACAGATTTTGAACTAAAAAAAAAAAAAAAGAGAGAGAGAAAAACAATCAGGAAAAGATTTGCACCTATGAAGTTGACCAAAGAGCTTTCCCTGAATTCTGTCTTTGATCCTGTCTTCATGCAATATCACTAAGACAGACTGAACTTTGAGAAGGAGGAAATGGAGCCATCTGTTTCTATTTACAACACTGCATGATCAATTTTCTGCAAGCAGTGAAGAGAAGCTAGCTGAGTTTTGCAGAGAACTCCACAAGTAGCCAAGCACTGCAGCTTTGCTGCTGCTCAGCAGGTGGTGACCAGGGGCATGGTCACACACAGTGACCACTGTCACACACAGTGACCAGGGGCATGGTCACACACAGTGACCACTGTCACACACAGTGACCAGGGGCATGGTCACACACAGTGACCACTGTCACACACAGTGACCAGGGGCATGGTCACACACAGTGACCACTGTCACACACAGTGACCAGGGGCATGGTCACACACAGTGACCAGGGGACACACACAGTGACCAGGGGACACACACAGTGACCAGGGGCATGGCCACACACAGTGACCACTGTCACACACAGTGACCATGGCAAGCCCTGGCTGGTGGGAGCCAACCTGCACGTGCATGGTGCTGCCTGCAAGGTAACCTGCCTTCTTTGCTGACAGGCATGCTGGAGTGCAGCTGACTGGGAATATTAATACAGTCAAGACTACCAAGTACACTGCACTACAAGAGTCCTATGGCCTTATCACCATCAGCATGACTGAGAACCAAATTTAATCTTGTATATTCCAGTTAGCTGAAATCCATTATTATGATGTCTACTGTGAAAGCATAATTTTTAAGTTTTCCCTGTCAGATTTATCAACATAAAAATGCATGCCAGGACTCAAGACAAGTCTTGTGATGAGGTCTGAACAAAAACTCACATTTGACTTGATGGTATTAGAGGTTGTTTCAAACCCAAATGATTCCATGACCTGGAAATTTTCTTTTTTCTTCACCTGTATTACTTTATTCCAATTAAGGACACTACCTCTACCTACAAACTGTAATGGCTACAGAATTTTTTCAGAATTCAAGCAGAACATTAGTTCTTGCATGATTTACTTACATATAGTATATATGGAAAATTCTGTAATAAAAAGCCAGAAAAATAAAGACATACTTTGCCATTCATTCCAATTACACTACCAGAGCTTACACTGCTAAGTACCTGGGAGGAGATAAAGTATACTAATATGAAACCTAAAGAGAGAGCTGGGAAGGAAAACTATAATTATTTGGTCCAAATATAACCAAGATATGAAAGCTAACTTGTAAAGGATAGTGTCAACTTTTTTAAAATGCCTTGAGTGGTCAAAGACTTCAGTCTTACTTGCAGTTTCTTGAGGAAAACCTCTGCTGCAGGGGAACAGGAGGCCCCAGAGGGGAGCAGTGCCATCTGCTGCCAGCCTCTGCCTTCTCCTCCCCAGGCACACAGGGCTAACGATGGCCAAGCTTTAAAATACCACTACAAGTATGCATTACACATTTACTATGCAATGAAAACTAATTGGCTTCAGCTGTTCAGGTGTTGGTTATTTGACTATTAACACCTGCATTTATGGTACGTTCACTGACATTAAGGGTGCACTTAATTGATTGAATGAGAACCAAAACAACCTTATTTTCTCTTCATCAGATGTTTTCTTCTATAATATTTGCCGCCGTTGGAGTTCTGGGAGCTGGATACTGCCTTATTTTGTCAGCAGTAGCCCTAAACAAAGGCCCTAAATGTAACACTGGAGAAAAGTGGACCTACCCTTTCCAGGATGGGTAAGACAAGGCAATCAGAAAAAAAATGATACACGTTTTAAGTTTGTGAGATGATTCAAATTCAAAATCCATTGTATAAAAATGGGAATGATATCACTTGTCTAAATTATAGAAGCTCTTTAAAGTGCCTGTAGCACACAGCAACACTTCATAAGGTTCAAGAGCAGGGATGTAAAGAATAGCAAAACTACTGCGTTTCAGAGAGGCCAATAAAGAGAAATGCACAGCCTCTTCCTAGGTTATTCTTGGGATGATAAGCAACATATGGGGATAAACGCCACTTAGATGAATAGCAATCTGAGACACCTCTCAGAGTCCTGAAGGATTTGGCTGATGTAATTACCAAGCCACTCTCCATATTTGCCAAGTCCTGGCAGTCAGGTGGAGCCCCAGGCGGCTGGAAGAGGAAAACACGCTTCTTTAAAACTTCCTTAAAAAGAGCAGGAAGGAGGACCCTGGGAACCATCGACGTGTCAGCCTCACCTCTGTGCCTGGGAAGATCATGGAATAGCTCCTCATAGAAGGTCTGATGATGCACATGGAGGACAGGGAAGTGATTTGGGACTATCAGCATGGCTTCATCAAGGGCAAGCCCCGCCCGACCAACCCAGTGGCCTTCTACGATGGGGTGACTCCATCAGTGCATAATGGAAGGACTACAGAAGTCACTTACCTGGACACAATCCCCCACAATATCCTGCTCTCTAAATTGGGGAGAGATGGATTTGATGGATGAACGGTTAGATGGTGAAGAAAGTGGTTGGATGGCCGCATCCAGAGGGTGGTGGTCAGTGCCCCAGGATCCTTATGGACATCAGTGACAAGCGGTGTCCCTAAGGGATCCCTACTAGGACTGGTGTTATTTCATATCTTCATCACTGACACAGATGGAAGAGGCTACCAAGATGATCATAGGGATGGAACACCTCTTCTGTGAGGAAAGGCTGCAAGAATTGAGATTATTCAGCCTGGAGAAGAGAAGCTTCAGGGTGACCTGACTGTGGCTTTCCAGCACCTGATGGGAGCTTACAAGAAAGATGAAGAGGGACTTTTTATAAAAAGAGGATGTAGTGACAGGAGAAGACAATGGCTTTAAACAAAGAGTGGGTTTAGATCAAATATTAGGAAAAAATTCATCCCTGTGAAGGTGGTGAGGCACTGGCACAGGCTGCCCAGAGAAGCTGTGGATGCCCCATCCCTGGAAGTGCTTGAGGCTGGGTTGGACAGGCCGTGGAGCAACCTGGGAGAGCAGAAGGGGTCCCTGACCATGGCAAGGGCATTGGAATGAGATGATCTTTCAGGCCCCTTCCAACCCAAACCATTCTGTGATTCTATGATTTTCCTGAAATTTAATGGTATGCAAATAATTACTACTCATAATATAATATCTATAATATTAATAAATATAAATAATGTATAATTTTATTTTGGCTATGGCATTTGGAAGCTGCTTGTTCCTCATGCTCTGCAACTCAAACATGTTAGGTGTCATGTATATTTCTCACTTAACCCCAGCAGTCCCACTGCTCAGGCTGAAGTCAAGACAGGTTAAGATAACAACAGGGCACAATGTACTACTGAGGAGAGCAGGTGTGATCACAACAGAATGGCAAGGGCTGCAGTAAACTCCTCATTGCCTCAGAACCTTTAATGCAGTCTGCCTCAGTCAAGAGTAACCTGGCAGCATTTCTTACATAATATACAAAAAGATTTTATTTTGGGTTGAAAAAAAAAAAAAAGAAGAAAGAAAACAAGAAGTACACAGGTGAAGGATTATTTGTTAATGGGCCAGTGAGGGCTGGAAACTAACTCCCTTGGTGTGAGAGTTGATTCTCAGACTGATCTCATCCTGAGAGTCTTTGGAAATATGCTCTGGTTCACACAGTTTTGGTTGCAGTCCAGAAATCAATTGACAAGAACACAAACAAGTCAGCAGTAAGAATATGCACATGAAATATAGCAGTTTACAATTAAATCAAAATGTGACTGTAAAAATTATTGAAGTTATTACCTTCACTTTAGATGTGGCATCTAGAACAACAAAAGCTGTTATTTTCAACTCAGTGGGCAAGAGGTGACTTGCATAATTTCATGATTTATTTTGATAATTCAGTTGTTTTGATTACAATGCACTTCCTTGTTCCCAACTGTACTTTGACACATTGGATTACATGCCCTGATGACAGTCCCTCACACCTCCCCCCCCCGCCCCCGCTAAAATGCTGTAATCAAGTAAAAGCAGCAAAAATGCCCCTGACAAAACACTGGAACAGATAAAAACCATTTGGCATACTCAGCTTAGCTAATATCTTTTCTTCACAAAACACTAAAAATGGTTCAATTGTAACAAACATGTACTTGTCTCAACTTGTTCCCTTCTGATGTCTGTTTTTTTTCAAATCACTTGCTTCAACTTACCTAGAAACTAAACTGAAGTCAATTTCTAGGTAAGTAGCAGCAGTGTGTCAATGGAGTCTTACCCAAGTGAACAGAACCTCAGCCACGCCACAGCAGTAACAACCTCTCAGAGGGGAGAGACCTCCTTTGCGACTTAATTGTCCTCTTGCTAACTATTTTGTTCTCCTGTAGGAATTACCTTGCTGACCATGCATTGTGGAACCTGTGTAAGTCACCGGACAATATTGTCCCATGGCACCTGACTCTCTTCTCCTTGCTGCTGGTCATGAGCGGGATCCAGGGACTGCTCTGTGGAATTCAGATGGTGAATGGCCTGTTTGGAACCCTCTGTGGGGACTGCAAATGCTGTGGCTGTTGTGGGGTGAGCAACTGATGATTCTCCTTTGTTATCTTGTGTACTGATGAGTTACATACGCACCTCTAGCTGACAGACAGAAAAACCTGCCTTCCTTCAGCTCTATGATCATGTTTTCTAACATACTGCCAAAACCCTACACTGCTGCCATTAGGAGTAATACAATCCTTAGAAAGTCACAGCAATATTAGTCAGGAAATTACCTCCATGTTTTCGTTCTTCCAGGGAGATGGAACCGTCTGATGAACAGGAATATTGCAGACAACTCTCCCCTCCCTGGGAGGATCCCTTCTGCAGCCGCTCCACAAAGCAGCCCTCAGATGCACTGCCTCTGGCTAAGAAGATGAGGATGAAGGGCTCTTCCTCCCACCAGTGTTATGAAGCCCTGACTCCCTTTCCAGCCTTCCTGAAATCCCTCATCATGGAATAAAATAAGTGAAATACAAGTCTCACATTCATATTTATTTTTGTAAAACAGCTTCCATTTAAAAAGAGGGTATTCTCAGGCAAAATACAATTTTTATTCTGGTCAGTTAGGTAGCTTGTAACTCCTCAAAGCTTCCAATCTATATATAAGAGGAAATGCTGTTTATCAAACTTTTTGCAAAAAGTAGCTGTGTTTGACACAGAGCTATGGAAGAGATAGGAAAGACAATAGAGAGCTAGCTCAAAGGCAAAAATACCTTTTAGAAAGAACTTCTAAAACTTAAAAAGAACAAGCTACCTCCCAAAGGAGTAAAGGAGAAAACAAGAGGGATTGGAGACATTTGAGGGTGTCAACTATCAACTAAATATGCTTCTTTAAAAAAAATTCCGAAACAAATTTTCACAAGCCAGCTTACCAGGCTGGATGTCCCAACGCTTCTCGATATTGGGTGTGTCTGTTTCCTAAAATTTTCCACCTGAAATAATGATTCTGTGGCCTGTGCTTCCAGAAAATGTATTTCATGTACTGCGTATTTACACTAGGAGATATCTGAAGAATCTAGAAGTACTTAAAAGCACTGAAAGCTCCTGAGCAATATGCAGAAATGTTAAACAGTTTGATATAGGTACTGAGAATTATGTTGTACAAGATGGTAAATTGTAAAGAAAAAACTCTTCAGGAACAGCTGTCTGTCCCACCTGTTCTGCTGCATAGCCCAGGAATTTGAAAGTACCCTTTATTTCCACACACACTGTGCTGTAGTCTCACATCTATTCTTTCATCTCTGGTGAGCAGCTGTCCAGCACCTCATCTTGCATTTGTCTTGTTTGATTTACATGAAGCCTTTGGGAAAAAGGAATGTTTCTCATCAGCATTCAACAAAGGGATGGGTAGCTGCATAGCATACAACTTTGATGTATCAATAAACAGAGTACATAAATCTTTGTGGGAGATGGGATAAGAAAAAAAAGGCAACAAGCTATGATACCTAAAACCAAAACCAATGAGCTGCTGCTCCTAAGAGATACTCAGCTACACAATGGCTTTCTAACACGAGCTAATATATAGCAGATACTCACACAAGGTGCACACATTTCATCTTGTGAGCCAGACTGCATTCTCACCTTGCCCTTCAGGTTTATTGAAAAAGGGTAAATAAGCCAGAACCAGCAGTCCAGCTGAACTCACACTTTGACGTGCCAGCAATGGTGTTTCCAAATCTATTCAATTAAACCTAACATCTGAGGCTTTTTCAAGCGAATCACACATCTGCAGTGTCAACTCTGCAGTAACTGGAGATTGTTCTGTGTTTTTAGTCAGCAAAGCATCCAGTAAAGGAAAAGAAGGCAGAGATAAAGAGAGTGCAATGCTAGGAAGGGACCGAAAGATGATGGTAAGAAAGAAGCCACAAACAGGGATAAGTGAAAGTGTTAACAGACCTCAGGAACCCTGACCAACTTAAAGACTACACTAGAAATACCATAGAAATAATGTAGAAATATCAACATACACTAATACAGAAGTAAAAATAATAGCAGTCAAAAGAAAGAATATTAGTATTATTCATAAAATCTCAGAAATACCCCACGCTGGCAACTTCGATATTGCATGGCACTGTTTTAGCTGAGAGATATCATTGGTAAAGTACATTGTTATTTAAAGTATATTGTAAAGTACATTGGTTATTTAAACAGCTCAGATTACAACATGTGGAGTGTGTGCATGTGATTTTGAGTCCATGCACTTCAGCAGGACAAAACTGGTTCAGCCCCTGCACAAGTGAATTATATACACTTAGTTCTCTTTTTTGATTGTCTTCAGTAAACAGTCTGCTGAAAAATGATTCATTAACCACAGGAAAATGTCACCTTCCAGGGAGTGATGCATTAACTGGAGACTCTTTGCAAAAGGTTCGTCTCTAAAAGAGGAACTAACATACAAAATGCTGAAAAAAAATTTGCTCAGCCCAGAACAAGGGATGTTTTTTCACATCATTCCAGTCTGGAATGTTCAACACCTGTCTCCAGTTCAACTTTAGCTCCCTCTTCATGGATTGTACATTACTCATAGTGTAACTGCAAGGCAAACAATGTCAAAACCCTGGAGCCATTCCAGCTGTCAGAGGGTGGGAAGGCTGACTTCTTCCATTACACTGATATGGGTGAGGTCTTTGCCCCCATATTTTAATTCAAATGTATATTGAATTGAATATACATATATGAATAACTGAATATACAATATACAATATGAAATTGATATTTAGAAATGAAATAGAAATTTATTAGAAATGTATGCCTTTTTCACAGAATAGTATTATAATAATAGCACACCTTTATTCCAAGCAGCGTTTTACAGCTCCCTAGGAAGCCCATACTAAAACCCTCAAACCCACCCCCTCCCCTAGAGAAATTATTTTAGAAAAACAATATGCATCCAAAATCTTTCAAGTTCATTTGTATTTTTTCATGTAAAAAATCAAAGAAATAATTAAAAAAACCCAAAATAGAATCAAACCCAGGATACAACAGGTTGATCTGATTGCCTCTAATACAATATATTGCAAGGTACTAAAAATTAAAAACAAATGCTCACACAAGTCTTATAAAAAAATGAAAAAAAGGAAATAGTTAAAGAACTAGCATGTACATAGATGTATGCATTAGGAAACAAGTTTATTTGGACAACCCACATTTTTCTGTAATTAAAATATAGATTTAAATCCTTCCCTTCCCCTAAACAACATTTGTTAACAAAAAGTCAAACCCAATACCTCCCCAAGTTACATTCTAACAGTATTACCAGAATACAAACTGTAATTAACCATGTCCCATTACTTCTGTATCATCAAGGCTTACATATGCCTCCTCAGGGATGGCCACAGCAAAACTGTCCAGCTGGCACATGGGTTGTATTTATACTACAAGTAGACAGTGTACAGTTTAGTACATAAATGCTCAAAACCTGAAATAGTACAGTGAAATATTGTCAACAATAAATTGATTTTCATATTCCATATGCTTTGAATACTGAAAAGTTCTGTCATAAGCCTGTTTAAAGCCAGAAACTTTTTTAAAAAGGTAACTTTGAAAAATAGGTTTTATTGTCATTGCGCTTCATCGGATACATCATCTCCGTTACAAAAGTTAAAAGCTGTCAGTGTAAAGAATCACTTTAAATTTAACCAGGATTTGTTTCATGACTGAGTAAAGATCTAACCCAAGATTCTGGCAGCTGTTCCAACCTGAAGTGTTGCTCCACACAGCAAAAGATCTGTTTTACATCTGCTGCTGGCTTACTATGGAAGTAACACAGAAACACAGTTTATGATTGCTTTACCCTTTTAAGGTCTTTGCACCAAGCCACTCAACCACGAGAAACACAAATGAAAAACAAACCAAGCTTGCAGCTTCACAATTCTGATAAATACCTGATGTGATTTCACTATAAAGTTGCACTCACTCTCCCTGTATGAAGAACAGCCTTTGGCTGACAACAATGCACGTGGTGGGCAGGAACCAGCACCAGCTAACTCCCAGCAGCTGCGAGCCTGACCTGCTCAGAGCATCTTCTGTTATGACAAATTTACATGTTCAGTGGTGCAGTTACTAGCAAATGAACAAACTGCATTCTCTGAACATAACCTGTCATGGGCACTGTCACCTGGATCACACCAGCTCTCAGATCCACAGCTGCTGTGGGTCATTCCAGCACCACTGGCTGCCAGCTCCTTACCCCAACTGAGCAGTGCTGGTGACGTGGCCTTGAAAGTTGGCCAGAAAATCTCCAATTCATTACCAACAGCAGTCATGGTACTAAAGAACAAAGCCTTAGGACCATCTGCTCTTCATTTAGGCTGACAATCTGAAGAAATCCTTGAAAGAGAGAGATTAAAACTAATTACAGTAATACTGGTCAGCCCTACCCAGTCCCCTGTTTATTCAAAAGAAATTTATGCTATCTCATCAGTTAGCAAAACTAGCAAGAATAAAAAAAAACCAAACAACTAATAACCCCTCAAAAGAATAAAAGAAACACAATGCCCATTCAGTGATAAAATTCTGTGCAGACACAACTCTGCTGTTCCATCTCTTTTTCTATTAAAAAAAAAAACCAAAACAAAAGCATTTTTTAAAAGCTACCTTTTACTATGTAATAAAACTTCATAACTGGAGGTCTTTGCCTGACATCTCCTTTTTCAGAATTTCAATGTGTGCACTTTTTATTTTCCATCCTGTGACACCATGTACCCTTAGCAGTTCATTTACTGTATCGAGTGCTTCTGTTATGTTTTTCACTGAATACCAGAGATTCATTTGCTATGTACTCTGTCTGCAGCCATCCTTCCCAGCAAGGATCTACATTTATTACCTCATCATTTGTCTTCCAAATCTGTTCTGTATTCCCACCACTTCACCACTGACCTTTTCACCTACCTTCACCCAACCAGATGTGAAAACATATTTAGGGGTCAATATTCTGACACATCATTAAGATCTTGTTAAGTGTTATCAGACCTGGCACACACATTTACACTTAGTGCTACATCTCTTCTTCTCTTTACATAGCCTGGATTAAACTTAGAGAAAAGTTATAATGCCTTTCATAAAATTACCTATTTTGCAATACAAAATGCTTAAATCCATTAAATATAAACAAGATAATTTCAAAACATTTAACAATATTCAGGACTTAATTTGCATTTCAGGAGAATTGCAGGCTTAATGTTCTTGATGTCTTCTCAGTCCCAAACCTCTGATAAGGAAGTTTTGTAGGATACACAACAGGTAAAAACACACAGCACATGCCTCATGTCCTGTGCACCAATTATGGTAAGTGAAAGACATAAAAACTAAGCAGCTTTACCAGGTGAGTCCCTGCTCAGGTGAGTCCCTGGTGAATTCTGCTTTAGCAGTGCCCTGATAAAGTTCCTGGGTTTTTTCATGTATACAACTACATGTATTTTGACATTGTCAGTTAAAAACATCACTGAAAACAGTATG